AAGGTTAGCGATGAGTCTCTTGAACTAGAATCAGGGAATGAGCACAGTACTTTGTGAGGGACCTAAATCTCTCACAGCTGAGGTGCACTGACCTTTTTAGAGCTGCCTTCCACAGAGATGGGTTTCAGGAGGTTGTTGAAGGTCATGGTGTAGTTCTTCCCATTCAGATTCTTCACTAGCAGATCGAATGACCTGCAACCAGGAAGTGAGGGAAGAAGGGCATAAATATTCCAATCATTGTAAGACTACTGTGCCTTGCTGCCAAAAACAGTGTCTGAAAGCCCTTCAGCAGACATATTTCTTTGGAAAGCACGTCAACAGGCTTGAATTACTTTCTTCCCAGGGCTTTCAAATCTTCAGTTGGAATTAATACCAAGGACTTAAAAGGACCTGTCCAGACCTCACAACAAACCAAGATCTTTAGGGTTCTTTCCACCTCATTGATGTGCTACAACCTTGGAAAGGCAGATTGATTTGATGTACACTCCAGTTCTGTCACCATCAAAAAACAGGGCTAACACAAAATACCCTGTCAAGCGTGATGAAGTGCAACAAGCATTTATAAAATGAAAATATCCCGATATCCTCTAAAGAGAGCTATTCTTAAGGGTATGTGCTAAGTGCTACTAAAAGCTAATATCACTCAAGTTTAAAAAAAGAAAAAAGGGAGTGCCAGGGGGAAGGGCTGATCCAGAACAGAGCTCAACACAACCCATTCCTGCAAACAGTGTTCTTAAATATGCTCTCCCCTATGGCGTGGTGCATCGGAATGAACTCACCTCTCTGTGAAATTCACTTGCACATTCTCAGCTGGAAGCTTCTGGACTCCATTTAAAGAGATGTAAATCTTAATAAACTTATCTGACTGATCCCAACCTACAAGTGAAAAGAGAGATTAAGCTTTCCTCCATAAACTTCATACATTGCATTCCAACTCCCCTAGCAATGACTAGGATCTCTGCCTTACAGAAACAATCTTTAGAGGGATAAGGGAGAGACATGCATTATTCAGGAATAACTTGAGAGCAAAAGGAGGTTTTCATATATTGCCTTATTCCCTAATTCCTGCAGATTCTGAGAAAAACCACATATCAGCTCAGGTAAAAGGGCAGCAAGTCTGTGTAGAGGGAGTCAGAGGTAGCCATCTGCTTTTGCTGCAGTTTCCTTGACCCATTTTTTTCCCCTGCTCCCTGCATGACAAGGATCTTGAGCAATTCCCTCTCCTTTCACCTACGTGGCGAGCAGAGAAGCCAAAGCTCACTCTTTCGTTCCTGCTAAGCACTCAGCAATGGAAAACTACTAGTTGGTACACCAGGGATCATTAGTGCATTACACAGACAGAATTAATACACACTGTGGTTGGGACAGCACAGTGAGCGTGCAGTAGCTTTTAAAGTGGAATCTCCAGCATGAAAGAAACACTTAAAAAGGCTTCTCTATAATATCAAATGGCAACTGTAACTCACACTAATGCCACCCTGCCTTCTCTTCAGAGAGATGCCTTAGTTCAATAAGTATTCAGAAAAGTAACCCTACCATAATTGTTTATTTTCACTGTGTACCCTCCCAGTGATGACTTTTCTTCCTCTACCACATCTTTTGGCTTCGGTGGAGGCTGATTCTTGATTTCTAGCTCTAGCTTGTGCTTCTCTGTCATGAGGACATCACGAAGTCGCTTCCTCGTGGCTTTTGTGAGCAATTCTTTAACCTCTTCCAAATCTTTCTGTAACTGGTTTAAAAAATAAAAAACAGCAGGCATATACATTAGATACGGTTTCCTTTACTCGAGGTTTGCACCTGAGCTCTTCCACCTTTAGCAATTTCGTGTCCCACAGGTAGCGGTTGCAGGTTTATTATCTCACTCTGTTAAGCGTGAAGTGACCCTCTCTGCGTGACCGATAATATTTTCGCTTCTCGACCAGTACGTATGTCAAGTTTTAAGCTTTCATCAGTTAAAAAACATGGGGAAAACGGTAAAATTTACGACACTTGGAACAGCTCCTCCACAGACCCTGGATTTCGCTAGAAGCGCGCAGCACCGCCTCAGCGACAGACACCGACAGCGCTCAGCAAACGCTCAAGCTGAAGGCTCCGGCTGCCACCGGGGAACGCGAGCTGCCCGGCCCCACGCCTCCTAACCCCGGCCAGGCCACTGCCCCTCGCACAGCCCGGCTCCGGCCGCTCCTCCCCCGGCCCGGGCCCGCGGCCTCCACCGGGGGGGAGCGGAGCAGGGCCCGTCCCCGGTTCCAGTCAGAACTCCCACAGGCCCCCCCCCGGCCTGGGCCCGCGGCCTCCGCCGGCGGGGAGCGGAGCGGGGCCCATCCCCGGTTCCAGTCAGAGCTCCCACAGGCCCCCCCCGCCCGCGCGCCCGCTCACCTCCTCGCGCGCTGCGGCCATGTCGCGTGCGACTCCCCCCGCCCCCGGCGTCAGACGGCTCACGGCGGCCCCTCTGGAACCTTCCGGCCTCCCGCCACGCCCACACACCGCGCGCCGCGGAAGTGACGCGATGCCGCCGCCACCGCCTCCGATACCCGGCGCGCGCCGCGAGCCTCGCCCATTCCGCCCGGCGAGCGGAAGAGCTCGTGTCGTCCCTCCCCTCTTGCTCTGTCGCGCGCCGGCGTTGCCATGGTGGCACGCGGCTGAGGGGCGGGGCTAAGGACCTTCCCGCCTCCGCCGGGGGCCTGAGGGGCGCGGCGCGCGGCCCGGCGGCCGTTAGCGAGGTGCTGAGTGCAGCCCTGAGGGAGCCGGGTGCGGCGCCTGAGGCGGTGACTGACTGGAACTCCCGCCGGGCGGGTTTTCTCCCGCCCGCCACGGCGTCTGGCAGCCCGCCTGGAGTCCGCGGCTGAGGCGAGGGGCGGTGGCGGGGCCTGGGCCGGGTCTCCTGTGTGACCGCCATCGTTACTCTCTCAGAGAAAAGTTGTAAACGGCCTTTCTGCCAACTGCAGCCTCGGTTGTAGTCGCCCACGGAAAAAAAAGTACAGCGAGGTGTTTCTCAGCTCCGTTCCTGTCAGTGTACTGAACAACAGCAAAAAAAGGTTCTATATCCCTGGCTGCCGCTCGGGCATTAAAATTTCCCTGAGGAAAAAAAAAAATCGCAATCCTTCTGAAAGCAAGTAAGTGGAAGAGTCAGGGTTTGCCTCCAGAGGGCTTTTGTGAAAAGTGGAACCCAAGGCAGAATAGAGACCTTCAGCATTTAAAAAACAGGTTTTTCTAAAAGGTGGTGGCAGTTATTAACATTTATTAGCAGTCATTCCAAATTGAGGAATGCCAGCTCGTGCTGATTTATGGGCTTATTTTTTCTTCTCTCCTAAAGTGAACATTGGGGAATCAACCTGTAAAGAGGGCGGTTTTTGCAGAGGTATGGAGGGAAGAATAGATTGGAAGAAGGTAACATTCATAGAAAATCTGAAACCAAAGATTTATGTTCAAGTCTGTATTCCACAAAGCAGTTTTAACAGATTTTGTACTGAAGTGTTTATTATAATCCTCTGGCACGGTGCTTCAAGATCTGCAGTTGAGAAAGGGTCAGGAAAGATCTGCGTAACTAAATCTGTGGTTGTGTTTCATTTACATAGGGCTGAACTTCAGCTGGTCCATCTTCAGCAATAGCATTTGAAGCCGGGCTGATTTTATCTGGAAAATACAATGCAGTCAATTGGAATTTGCTTCTGTGCCCTGGTTATTTAGTTTGTTAAGGGCACTTGTGTATTTAGGAATTGTTTCCTTATGATCTTTCTGTTGAGCAGCCACTGAGACAAGAAAATAGTTTTTTCTTTAGCTACTAGTCTTTGAGTTTCTTCACTCTTAGTTGTGGTCCTGTATTAGGAAGTGCTCTTAGTTTTAGAATTTAAATTGATGTTGCTTTATAATTTAATTTCTGGCTGGAGGAGAAAACACTCACTAATAGGTACATGCATTTGTAAGTGAGCCTGTAGTTTTTGGGGGTTTTTGAGATTTTTTTTTAAAAACCAGTGTTTATTTTGTTTCCTTAAATCAGGAGCACTTCAGTGCCCATGGCACTTCCACTTAAGTGGCAGCTTCCACGTGGAAGGGTTGCCACTCTTGTAGTGTATAAACACACAGAACTTTCCTTTGCATAAACCTGCAGTATCATCTGGATGTTGCACCCTCCACTGACAGGGAACAGAAAAGAGCCTGAGAAAGCCAAGTTTTTTTTTCTTCTGCACATTTCTCACAAGGAGCCAACTGGCAGGCCACCTCTTGGGTAGAAGAATCAGAACAGTTCCTGCACCAGGAGGGTGGAAAAGGAGCTAGGTTAGGATTAGTAGGAGTACTGAAACTGGGCTGCAAGATCCTGGTCTAGTCTGGCAGACAAAATGCAGTGCAGCATGATCTTCAGTGCTCATCAGCTCTGGGGACTGGGAGAAAGCATCTGAGAGGTTTTGAAAGAATGAGGCATCTTTATTTAGCACGTAGTACCCATTTCTTCTGTCTGCAGGCATTGGTAACAACTGGTGACAGTCTTTGGATAGTGATGTGGAGGTAAATCAATACAAAATGTTATGTCTGTTAAATTAACTAGTTGGACGTATTTAATCTTCAGCTTTTCTACCTCTGTACCTTCATATCTTCCCCTGAGGTGCTGTGTGCTTTTGCAGTTATCTGGGAACAACGGCTGTCGTTCTCAATAAAAAATAAATCCTAGAGCAAATGCTCACACAGAAAAAATGGGTTTACAGAGCATTTGAATGCTTTTGACTGCTGTAAATCTTGCTTTGTTTGGTTCTTGCTGTCTTGCACAGTGCCTGTGGAACAGGTTAGCCCTTGTGAACAAGTACCTTACCCTCACAAATGGGTTGGAATTGGCTAAGTAACGTGCACATTTGGAACAGCTGCTGGGTCACTGTGTCCTAGTGCAATAGTGCTGCTTGGGAGTGAATTGTTATCAGAAAAGCTGGTACAGCAGCTGTTTGTTATTGCAAACAGATTTAAACTGTTTCTCAAGTGAATGGCTTGTGAAAATAAGCACCTTATTCCCATTTTGTTTGCATTTCCATTTATTTTACAAGGCATCGTTCACACAATGATAACAAGGTACTGATCCAAACAATTCTGTAACAATTAAAAAAGTAAACATTTGTTGTGACCATGTACATTGAATTGCACTTTTAATAACAAGCATTACACTTATATTTCCACGTTGTACTTTATATAATGCATGGATTTGTTACACAAGAACTGGCAGTACTGAATTGTTCTCAGTTAAAAGTCTGACAGCGCTATGATGCTCTTTTTTCCTAACTCTTTAGGAAAGTCTACTTTACGAACTTTGGGCACACCCAGATCGCTATCATGACTCCAAACCTGGAAAACTCCATTGTAATACGAGCCAGAGCTTTGAAGCTGCTCTCTGTTTTCAATGTGCTAAAGTAAATCCACCTAGAATTGCAGATTTAGGGATCTGGATCCAGATCATTCTTGATTACATTATTTTCTGCATTCACATGCCATCTTTTCCCATTTGAGAGAAGCCACAGAATCTCATTCTGTAGAAAAGCAGCAACAGTTCCCAAAGCTGGAGAGAGCTCCTCACCCAGCTTTTGAAGGTGGTATCAGTAGTAGTGCAAGACCAGAGATTACTGGAAGGAGAGATTTGGGATGTGGAGAAAAATCTGAGAACATCTGCTCTTGTTTGCATTGGTATTGCCATCCATGTATTATATAAAATACAAAAATAAGAGAAACTGAAAGGAAATTAGTACAGCCAAGGATTCTGCTGGTATCAAATCACAAATGAAAGTTATGATACCAAATCCTTTTGATGTATTCATCCCCTTGTGATTCAGTTTCCTATATATTATTCTATATATCCGATATAGTTTTCCAAAGATACATATATATTCCTTTACAGGTTAAATAAAAGCAAGTCCCACCAAATAAGAAAATAAGAGGAAGTAATGTCCTAATTCTCTACCCATATCTTTTTTTCTTTTTCAGGTAAAAATAGCATGAAATACATTCAGTAGCAAAGCAGTTGGAATCCAGGGGAAATGGAGAGCCCTGTATTCCTGGAGGATTAACCTGTATATGTTAAGTCACAATCCTGAAATAAATTACGTAGACTTCTGACTTGGGAAAGATAGGATCTTGATCAATGCTGAGTATTATTTACCCAGCTGCAAATTCTTTGAATTTCCCAAAATCCCTCTATGGATGAGCCCAGTTGTGAAGGCTGCTGTCATGTTATACCTAACCTAACTTGAAAGGTCCAGACTCGAGTGCTTCATTGTGTCTCCCCTTAGTCTTATTCCTTGGCAGAAGGGACACCTCTGAGTACGATATTAGGGTAATAGATGGAAAAATAATTTAGTTCAAGCCTTTGTGTTTGAGAGAACAACGTGCTGCCTGGTGCTGTAAGTTACATGTCTTGTGCAGCCAGCTGTTTGCACAACGGCCCACAGGGGCCAGCCAGGACAGTCCCTCTGGGTCCCAAGAGAAAAACCTCTCCCTGATCTTCACACTCCAACAGTAACATGTACTGAGGTTTTCTCTCTAGCAGTTGGAAGAAAACCAGCATTGTAAGATGAGAGAGTTTCTGTTTTCAATGCCAAAGGTATTTAGGCTTCTTAGATTATGCAGAAGTATGCCAATTATCCCTGAGTCTAACAGTAAATCGAAATAAGAGGTATAGTTCTCCCACACATACAAGTAGTTTCATGAATTTCACTGCAACTACTTAATAGAAGGAAGGGAACAGCCCTACCTTTATCCTGTGGAGAAAGCATGACTTACGTAGCTTCCAAGTTTTGATACTTCAGTGCCAGTAAATTCAGATTTTTACTCCTAAATTGCTGTATTCAGTCAGTGAGTGACATCATGATTCTCAAGTCAATGGGATACTTCGTGCTTTGTCAAGGGGCTGAATTCTTGCTCTTCTTGACTTTCTTTTTATCTTCCTCTCCCCTTGTAAATGGCTGGTTTTATTTTGAGTTGTTTTTAACACAAGAGCACAAATGAAAGCATTTATCGTAGAAGAAATTTCAAGGGCCAACCAAGAGAAATCCTTTAAAATGTGGGAAAAAAATGGCTTACCTCTGTAAGCAATTTAACTTTTAGCTGTAACAAATTATATCCTAATTAATGGGCAAGACAGGGATGTGTTTGTCAGCTGGCAGTACTGATTACATGGCTGACTGCCTTTCCTGAGACTGGTTTAGCCAAACATTAACGCATATGGACCTCTGGGATTTTGCAGTTTCTTAGATTAACACCACGCATGATATTTTCTATTTTATTGTTTTTAATTCTCTCTGGGTGCATTTAGAATTTGTTAAACTAAGTGAAATAAGTCCTATTACTTTAGAATATTAAGTTTGATTCACAAAGGTAATACAAGACTAGTTCACAGAGGTACTATGTAACTAAATCAGCCTTGCTTCATTTATCCTGTAAAGTGTTACAGTCAAAGTAAAAACAACTTCTTTTTAAAGTGAAAAAAGTATTTTTATTTTTTTTTTCCATATTCGGCATCTCAGGAACAGATTAGAATCCAACAAGATAAAACAGTTGTACTAAAAATATTCTTTGGAGGTTTGTCCCTAATCAAAGTAAAGGCTTTATTTCAGAACTGTGCATTCTCAATAAAATTAAAAAATAATATTTAGTTCCACGTATATATTTATAAAATTCAAATTACTTTTAATATAAGTTTGATGTGGACACACGGTTTAATACTGACTCAAGAAAAAAATAGGAATCACTCCAGAGTTAGGAGCTACGTTAGCTGTTCCAGTGCCACATGAAAACAACAGTTTCAGTGAGACTTTGATGATGTTTCCTGCTGAAAAGCTAAACAAAGAGGGAGCTATCCCTGACAGATCAGTCTGGGATACGTGTAGCTCTGTCACACACTGCTGGAAGGGCCAATTAAAACCCAGATGATGTTTTTATTCTCACAGGAAGCTAAGTTTCCCAATAGCATGCCCAGCCAGCCAGTAGAACTTCAGCTTGCCTGGTTTAATCCTGCAGTCTTGCTCCTTTTCTTATTTCTGAATATAACTATACTTATTCATCAAGGTAATGCTATTTTCTTATTCTTTCAGTAATTTTGAAAAGACACAGTTTCCACATAAATATGACTCTTCCAAATGCCAGTGCTACAAACACTACCTCGGATCTACAGATAGAAGGTGAGAATTGTTTACTACCTTTATGTTATTGCCAAGAGTGGTAATGCAGCCATTGCCTTCTGAAACCTTTTTTTTACTGATGTAAATCAGCTTCCATCCTACAAGGTTTTGAAATCATCATGGTAGCAGGTAGCAAACATGTTTTTGTCACAGAAATTGAATTTCCAAAGTCAGAGAGCTGCTACACTGAGAAAGAGGATGTTGTGTCAAAGCCAGTTCCGTGAAACGTGGTGAGTTTCTTTAACAGTTCTTTTTTGGTGAACTGCGGAAGTCCCACTCCCCTGATCCGCTGGCACTCATTGGGCCCTTTGAGATGATTTAACTCTTAACTTGGCAAAAGACCAATGGGGGGGGGAAATCCACCCACATCTTTTTTTTTCATTTTTAATCATCTCCAGTAAGTGCTTTAACGAGGCTGGGGACACGACTGTACGACGGGGTGCTGGAGGGGTGAGTTCTTTGAGCAGCAGTGAGCTGTCACGTTAACTCAGCTGCTCAGGGAATCGGTCTTAACTATATTTTTAATTATTATTACTGCATTTTTCCAATCAAGGTTTTAAATCCACTTCTAAGTATGATTTAAGATAAATGAGAAATTTGGACACTTGTCAAACCATCCATATCACTCATTGTCACAGTGCTCTCAAATGTGACAATCAAATTTACACTTAAATGTCAGTTCAAATGTATTATGCAGTTTATTTGAAGTGTGAAGCAGTTCTGGTAAGTGAATGACTAATGCTAAGTTCAGACAGTCAAGAGAATGGAAATATTTATGCAAATATTATTAGCAAGGAAGTGACCAGGGGAAAAGATCTTTGTTAATTTTTGCAAAAGAAGTTACTTCTGCTTTTTCTCCCCTTTTTTCTCATTGTATTAATATTTCCAGATAATCACCATTCTTGCAGGTACATTTTAAAATATTAACATTTTTAGACTCTTTAAAGTTAGAAGAGAGAATTCTGTTGCAGGATAGTTGTGTCAGGATAGTGATTATATTTTGATCTCTGCTTCAAACAGCTGACTGCCTTTCAGAATCGTTCCTTTGGCACAGGTAACATTCAATTTATACTACCCTGTTTAACATAATTCACAATTATGCTTGACAACAAAGCACAAGGATGGGTATCATTAAGTTTTATTGTACAAAACTGACAAGGTATGGCATTCCTTAGAATTAAAAAAAAATAATAATCAAAACATAACTAATGTCCCTGGAACAATTTCGTAAATGGAACAATTAATACACAACCTTTAGTCCAGCAATGATATTTACCTGCAAGACCATCTTTAGACATGACAGGTATAATTAAAAAAATATTCCATCAGTTCAAGCAATAGTTTAAATTTGCATGAAATAAGTATTTCTATAAACACTTCAAGTTCAATCAAAACAAATGCTTTTGAATTTTCTTACCTTAAGAGATATAAAACAACCAGACAAGTTTGGGAATCATCAGAGAAGTCTACCCCAGGGGAAAGTCAAGTTTTGTATTCCACTTGAAAATGTTTGTTTTTATAAAAATAAGTAATACCAACGTGGCATTTCCTAACCAAATACTTCTAGCAAACAGATCTTCTTCTGTGATGTTATTCATCAGTGCTGCACAAGCCTTTGGGGTTTTTTATTTGATACCTCATTTCTGTGTCGAATTCAGAATTTGAATATAGACCCAGGGAAAGGTTTTCATTAATTTTATTCATAAAACCCACCCTTTATTGCACAGGACTCACAAAAGGTCAACTCTATGCAAGGTCTTCACTCTGCTTCTCAGCAATAACATCAAATAAAAGTTGAGGTTTTCCCTTTATCCCAGTGGAAGAAATGATTTCTTGGAATTCTTAGTACAAACATGAAGTAAAAAAGGGAACTCCATAGCTTGATGTTAAATTCCAGTTCAGCTGTAAATAGCCTTTAAACAACAGTGCTACAAAGAACTGCACTACTTGCATTTCTGAAGAAAAAAAACAATCAAAACTAAGAAAATATCAGGGAAGCTCATAAACGATTGTGCCAAGACAGCACAAGACTATCTTTGCTATGGCCTAAGCTTTACAAAAAGTGCTTCTCTGCAGGACGCAGTCGCTGCGATAAACTTCTGAGATGGTCCCAGGGCGTAAGTTATCCTACACACACACACACGTACTTAGTAGACTGTGCTTTCTATGGAGAGATTAGGGTTCAGTACTTTACATTTTCCATTCTCTCTCTTCCTCCAGAAGAAGAAAAAAACCTTCTATGCAAGATAAAAATAATTTTGAATAATTAGTCATGTATTAAAGACCTAGTTTTGAAGTATTTATTTAACATCTAGTCATATAAAATAAAGTGTAAAAGTATGAAGGTATCAGAACGTGGCTTTCAGCAAGGCAGTTTGGGAAGTAAGAATTCAACAGAAAACAGGAATTATCTTTTTTTTTTTTTTTTTCCCCCTTTGGAAAGGGTCACATCAGAATGAATGAAAAACACCGAGGAATTTCACTTCAAGCCTGCACTCCTGCCTTTTGTCCTTTCCCCAAGAGGAGAGACCACTGGAAGAATCCTCCAGGGTTTCAGTTGTGTTGTTCTTTGTGCTCTTGTATCGGGTCTGGCTGGAACTATGTGCTGCCCTCTTTGGGTGGCAGGGGCGGCTGAGGCTGCTGCGGTGGCTGTGTGCCTGTGGCCGTTTTGATAGAGTTCAGGGTTTTGCTAAACCAAGAGTTTTTGGCAGCTTGGATTTCATTCATAAGGGCTCCTCTCTGGTGCTCCAGCTCCTAAGAAAGCAGAATAGTCAGAATTGATCAAAACCCAATTAATTAACAAAAAAAGCATCCTCAAACTCAGTCTTTGCAATCCAGCGCTTTCCTTGCAACCTCCCAGGCACTGGGGAGACGAGAGGTTGAAATTGTGGAAACAGCAGAAGATACTTAAATATATAAATTAAAACCTCTTTTCTTTTTTTTTTTCCTTCTTTTTTTAAAGACAGAAAATCATTCTGGAAGTTCACAGCTATACAGTTGTACAGGTATATGCTTGGTTTTGGATCAATTTTTTCCATGATTCAGAATTATTTTGGACTGAGCACAATGACATTAAGGAGACTGCACTGCTGCATTGGGATAACACTTACCTGAATTTTGCACTTGGCTTCCACAAGCTGCAGTTTGGTCTGTGCAAGTTCCAGCTCCATCTCTCTCAGCTGCTTCTTCAGTGCATCCTTCTCATCATCTGTTTCTATGCCTTTATTCTCCATGCTTACAGCAGGCAGCTTCAGTGCCCCCTCCTTACTGAAAATCTCACTGCAGTGTTTGCAGGCCATCACTTTACCCTGAAATATCCAGAAAGCTCATTTTAATCCAAGTAACAGGAGTTGCTCTGCCTCCTAGAAGAGCCATTTTTCTGTTAGACTGCCTTTCTGTCAGTAGTGCTCCCATTATCTAGTACTGTAGTTTTCATATTTGACATGAAAAGAATTTGAGAAGTTCACAAACAATTTCTGGAGTATATTAACCAGTATAAAAATTTCTAAAATCTACTTAGCAATCCCATGTAAGCACAGAGAGACATTACTCCTAGATTAGAATTACTCAAGCCTTCTTGCTACCAAAGCTTTGTAGTATTTTGCAGTATTTATGCAAGCACAATTCAGAAGAGTAAATTATACTCTAGGGACTTTTCATCTTCCATATAAGCACTTGACCAACTTAATACAGATGTTGGTATTTTAAAGAATGTCAGGCAGCTTTTCCATATTTCCAGAAGTAAGCGAGCAGCCTGTGCCCCCTGCAGGGGCCAGTGCTGTCCTGTTGGTGCTTATTTAGCATTGTAGGGGTTGTCCCTTTTTGCCTCTTGCTACCAAAGCTTTGTAGTATTTTGCAGTATTTATGCAAGCACAATTCAGAAGAGTAAATTATACTCTAGGGACTTTTCATCTTCCATATAAGCACTTGACCAACTTAATACAGATGTTGGTATTTTAAAGAATGTCAGGCAGCTTTTCCATATTTCCAGAAGTAAGTGGAACAGGGGCCAGTGCTGTCCTGTTGGTGCTTGTTTAGCATTGTAGGGGTTGTCCCTTTTTGCCAGTGATGTCTGACACAACCATAAGGTTCTCCTGCTGCCTGGAGAGGTGAACCAGTTACTCATGGATGAAGATGTAGCAGAGCTGGCCTGGCTCACACAAACGAAAACGGGATATTGAGCTATTTCAGCAGGTTATAGGGACATCACTCCTAGAATTTTATTTTATCAATAACATTAAAAAGTCACTAAAAAGCAACAAATCAGGTTGAGCTTGAGTACTAAAGAAACAACTAGGAGCTACAGCAGAGGGAAAACAATTCTGCTTACTCAGTAGTGACAAAGCAGAGGGATGGAATTATTACCTGATCAGGAAATGTTTACCTCTTGTGCAGATGTTCCTGGTTAAGGGGGTTTAGGGCAGGGACAGGAACTGCTATGGAGATTCTAGGGATGGCCCAAGCTCTGCCAACTCTGCTTAAATTGCAGAAACCCAAATACAGATGTTGTTCATTTTGGCCAATTCCAACCCCTCTGCTTTGCACACTGGAGAAGCAACACGTTTTCTCTTCTAGAGAGACTTTTTCTTTTTTTTTTTTCCCCATTTAATGAAAACATTTAAATGAATACTGTCTCTCTACATTTTTTTGCCAACAGTATACATTTCAACAGGAAAAAGCCAAGTACTACATGCACTTCAGTTTGAAACATTTAAGTGAATACTGTCTTTCTACATTTTTTTTCCAACAGTATACATTTCAACAGGAAAAAGAAAAGCCAAGTACTACATGCACTTCAGTTTGAGAGTTCCACCCTGTCTGACACAAGATAAGGGAAATAAACCCTTTCATTGTTTACATCTGATGACAAAGGCATGTGGGGCTATCAGTGCAGCTGGGTGGACACCACTGTTGTTACATTAAATTTCAATTCACTTTTTGTTCTGTATCCCTGACATTTAGCATTTGGGTTAGAAACATCCCACGTGTAGAGGAGAGGTGTTATTCTCACCTTCACAACTTCCAGTTCATCTTTACTGGCCGCTTGTTGTTTTTCCAGCCTGGTACTCAGCTGAGAACAAATCTGGAGCAAAGAAAGCAGTCTCTTAGCTAAATTTCACTATACTAAAATATAAACTGTCCTTTTTAACAATTAGTTTTGTTAGAGCCAACATTTCTTAAATTCTGCCTCACTCAGGTATATGCATTCCCCTCCCTTAACAAATCAACTGCTGCTGATGAGACTGAAAAAAAATGGTAGTATTCAATACAGAACCTGAACATAGAGACCAGAATATTTTATAGATTCATTGGTTTATAATGTTTATGCTGCATTAGGTCATACAGCAAAGAAGCATTCACCCTACAGTACTAAAAATTAGATGAAAGACAGGTTACTCCTGGTTCCCTTAGTTTAGAGACTATTTGGAAAACCACAAAAAGATTTATGACAAATTACAATGCTTGCTCTCTGAAAGCCCAAAACAGTGTATCTTATATAAAGGATGAGACCTTGCTCTCTGAAAGCCCAAAACAGTGTATCTTATAAAGGATGAGACCTGCAACTCTGAAAATTCAGCTCTCGGAACAGGTTGAAAGAAGAACTATGAGAAAGCATCTCTAGAGCAGTACCTGTTTATACTCTGCAATAATGGCTGTGGTTTTCTTGATCTCAGATTCTGCCTTCTCTAGCTGCTTCCTGAAGACTTCCTTCAGCTAGGAATTCAAGGAGAGAAGTTGACAGTACAGTGAAAGAAATTCCCAAAATGCGTCATCAGATTGTTCTCTCAAAGTCTTGCTGTGTTTTCAACAGTTCTACAGCTTCTTCTTAGGAAATTGCAGTTCTTCAGACAGATGCCTGATTTACTCAGTATACAAATACTTATTATATTCAGTTATAATCAAAAAGTCTATAGTGTGATACAGTGTAGCCCTGCTTAGAGAATTCTCCTGTAGGATAATTCTCTTCCTCTGCACTAAATGGTGGTACAGTGTGGTCCACAGAACACGAAAGGAGCATTACTATTAAGTGGGGGTTTTTCTGCACATGGTCCCACCAGGTGTGGGCAGACAGGTTATTTGTTTGTTTGGAGATGGACCGGGGAGAAGAATCTCTCATCTCTGTAACAGGAGAAAAATATCTCTTTTGGTCTGTGGTGCCGCATTAAAATACAGCTAACTCATTCCTTCACCGTTCAGAACCACTAATTTTTGAGAGCCCTTTCAGTAGGAAAAAGGCCTCCACTGCCCTGTTTATAGAAAACACAGAACTTGGCAACCTCCATTTTAGAGAGACACAAAGAATTACCATTTGATTGTTGTAGCCACGGCTGTCGAATGGCAAAAATAAAAATCAGGGTATCACTTTCGAAACATACTTTTGTGTGTGTCAATATTCAGCATGTTAGATATGTAGGATTAGAAAACTAAGACTAAACATTTTGCAAAGAAGTATGAGGCCAGGTCTAGTCAGCAAAATTCTCCCAACCCTCAACTCTGTTCTGCTGTTGGTTCTGGCTTCAGACAGGAACATTCACAGCTTTATTTCAATGAACCAGCAGCTGAATCCGGAATGGCCTCTTAGAGGGCAACAACTCTTCCAGCTTCTTGTTTAGATAATTAAAAGAGTTCTGATCGTGTCTCTTAGTTGTGATTGCTCACCACCAGTGAAAATGATTATGACAATACTGGGAAGAGGATGAGGTATGGGAAACTTAACATTCAGAGCTCAAGTAAAGGAAGACACTAAAACCCATACTTTTTTTTAAAAAAAAAATTACCCTGGCACTTAAATTTTTAATTGTGATTGCATTTTGACAACAAAATCCTTTCCACAATTGCAACACATTCATGCTTTTCTGCATGTCCTTTTGCTTGCATTTCCTTGCTAAATGGGAGAAGTTGGAGAACGCCTTACCTGAGCAGTTTCCTCTTCCTGCTTCCGTTTCTCTTCTTCAGTCTCCACGAGCTTCTGTTTGGTCAGGAGAAGTTCCTTGTTCAAAACATCCGCTTTGTCTTCAGCCTAGAATTAGAAACGCTGCTGTAAATCAGATGTTATCTGTGCCATGTATTGGCACATACATCTCAGAACTACTGCAGGTTCAGGTTCTAGCATTGCCTTTTCCTGCCCTCTGATGGCTCACCTAACCTATTTTTATATGAAATTGCCTATTTAAATAGTTGTTTTCTAAGTCATTTCACTGTGTTTCAACAACTGTGCAAAAGGACCCTTTTGCCATAAGTTTACCTATGCCCAGATGGCAAGTAAGCATAGATACCATAACCTAATACAAACCTAATCAAACACTGATGTATAGAATATTTTTGTTGGGGACAATGTTACCTAACCTATTTTTATATGAAATTGCCTATTTAAATAGTTGTTTTCTAAGTCATTTCACTGTGTTTCAACAACTGTGCAAAAGGACCCTTTTGCCATAAGTTTACCTATGCCCAGATGGCAAGTAAGCATAGATACCATAACCTAATACAAACCTAATCAAACACTGATGTATAGAATATTTTTGTTGGGGACAATGTTAATCTAAACGAGGGCAGCATGATTTAGCTCCTGTGCAACTTCAGGTAACTTATTCCATTTTTGTATCTGTAAGAGGGGAAACTAGATTATTGTAGAAAACATTAGGTGCCTGCACTGTACTGCCTTACGAATTGTCTGGGGGAAGGCAAGTATAAAAGAGACAAATGGGACCACCAGATAAAACAGTTTGTTTAGCAGTGCAAACCAGTATTACCCAGAGAAACCTGATACTGTGTGTGTACTGGAGAATATGAACTTTCTCCTCTCATTGAAGGGCCAAGCTTATGGTGGAACGTACTGGGAACGCTTTGTTTTTGTGAGGACTATCCTCACCAATCACCAGGAGAGAAATGTATTTCCCAGTGTCTGGCTATATTGTGTTGACCTCCCCAACTGGGACATACACACTGCATCACACCACTCCTTTTGTTCAGTAACCAGGTGTCAGAACAGCAAGGGTTGTGGTCAAGTAATACTTAGTTTGCTGAAAATACCAGATGGGAAAATGGCATCGTAAACAATGAATAACAATACAGAACTTGTCTCTGACTTGCAGTTACTGGTAGAAAAATTAGATTAGCTTATCTATCTGCCACACTGTTAACTATTAATGAGGGTGTTAGTCCAGAACAGCAAGGGTCGTGGTCAAGTAATACTTCGTTTGCTGAAAATACCAGAGGGAAAATGGCATCGTAAACAATGAACAACAGTAGAGAACTTGTCTCTGACTTGCAGTTACTGGTAGAAAAATTAGATTAGCTTATCTATCTGCCACACTGTTAACTATTAATGAGGGTGTTAGTGGGATTGTGGGTAGCAGAAGCAGCTCCACCAGGGCCACGACTGAAGAGATGAATTGAGGGCTCCCGATTGCTTAGTGTGTACGCGGCTGTATGGGAGAAAGGAAAACAAGCAGTGAAAGAATGGAAAATAAGATTGACATCTTGGAACAAAAGAACGTGGGGATGACAGGGAAGTTTTTGATGAAAGTCCTGTTTAAGATACGCTTTGAGGGAATTACAAATCTTTCCTCCTTTTATGTGTTGATGCCAGGTTCTCCAAGCAGCTGCAGTGGTGTACGGTGTCACCCCTCCTTGCAGATGAGGAGTGCAGTAGCACAAAGCTTCTCTTTCAGTGCCAGGGTACTGAGGCAGGGTGCGGGAGGACTTCATGGAGCCACTCCCATCTACAGAAAGACAGCTACAATGCAGCAGAGCAAGGCACAGGACTGGCAGAGGTATGTGCTCGGCAGCTTTATCATGATACTCAAGAAAAAAACAAGGGTGGGCAGCAGCTGCTTTATGTACAGCTATTCCTGGGGAAGACAGAGTGCCTCAGCACATTTCTTTTGGCCTTCAGACGAGACTGCCCACTCCACCATGCAAAGTGCATCTCTGCCTGTGTTTGCTCACCAAGACAGCTCCAGTTTTTAGAATCACATGGACCCAAATCAGCAGAGTCTAACTGTCAAGGATCTCCCTAAACAGAAAGACCAATTGCACAACTGTGGTGAATGATGTTTACAATTCTGCAGTTAGATATAGCAAGCCAAATAACTATGGGCATAAAAGGCACTCCAGCCCCCACTGAGCAAGGGACTAATCACAAGGTGTGGTGGAATATGGCCCTCATGTATTCAGTACCTTAAGAATAGCTGTTAAAACACTCCAGAAAGAGGAGGGCTGAGTATGAGATAAAGGGCTCTGAATGCTGCTGCCCTCCGCATTCCAGACTGCACAGGAAACAAAAAGTTATCAAAGGACACCCAGGAGCCTTTCTAATTTTTGGTGAGTTCTCTGAGATAAAGGGCTCTGAATGCTGCTGCCCTCCGCATTCCAGACTGCACAGGAAACAAAAAGTTATCAAAGGACACCCAGGAGCCTTTCTAATTTTTGGTGCCGTGCCACTTCGTTATCTCTGAATTTTGTTGGTTGTACTAAAACTGCTGTGAAAAACACGTCCACAAAAGGTGGCAGACATTCTGCAAGGCAACTTCCCTTGAAATTAGTCTTTTGAGGAGTACGTGATACCTTTTTCAAGTAAATATTCATTCTTTGGTATCTGCCTAAAGGTTATGGCTTACATTTTCTGAAGCAATGCACAATGTCAGTGTTGTTAAGACACCACTGTGAATGGCTACAGTTGCATGCACGTGGAAATTCGGCTTTCCGACTGTGACTAGAAGCGAAGTTGTCAGGAAAATAAAGGCACAAATAATTATACTTTTAATGTACTTTTAATGGGTGTTGCCGAGGCTGGGCTGGGACCCATCTCCGTTAGCATTACCTGGTCCAGGTCATTCCTTAAGGCAATTTTGCTTGTTACAAGCTCGTGGGCAAGGTCATCGTTCTCCTGCTCCAGCCTCATGCTTGCTTCTTGGAGCCTGCGGTTTTCCCTCTGCACAAAGAAAGGAACAACCAGAAAAGGAAGTTAATCCTTATCGATATTTAAGAGCAATAAGTGAGTATATTGTGTGTGTAAAACACCAAGAAGGCAAGAGTGCACATTAAGACAGGACTGCTGCTCTGGGAAACAACAGTGAATTAAAGCCAGCGGTGCAAATGCAGCGATTCCACTTACATCCCAATGGTTCTGTTTGTGTCAGGTAAGTGACACGCTAATTGTAGGGCTTCTCTGTCAAAAGTAAACACAGTCCTCTTCACAAAAGCACTTGGTTTCTGCTTGCTCATCATCAAAAGAAATTAGGCAGATAAAATACCACCCAGTAGCAGTGAAAAAAGACCAATTAAGAGATACTCATAATGATGTTTCCAGTCCAGAGCAGAAAGCTGTCCTGCTCCATTTTACAAAATTTTGTCCACAGGAATCCATAAAAATAGTCCATTTTGTAGCTGACATAGTGCCAACTGCCTGCCTTCTGTGGGACCAGTAAAGAAGAGGGTTTAACAGGGAACTCCCTACAGCTTGTATAACGTGTATCGCCATTTACACACTTTCTCTGTAACTTGCACCAGTGACAACAGGGCACGTTTTACAGGATACCTGCTGAGAAAAAGTCCCAGATGAAGAAGGATGCTCAGTCCCTGAGCACAGACCCAGAACCTGCTCGGTGGGCAACGCACGACAACACAAAATGCTGAGCTTCAAGACTGCAGGCCCTGGTCCTCGCTGCCCTGTACTCCCTACCCTCTCCACACAGGCAGAAACGACTATGAAGAGCCCTAACTAGAGAAGGTAAATACACTGGAGGAGAACAAACAGTAGCAATTCATGTTTTTGAAAAATCAGTTTCAGTGATTATATTCTTCTAAAGCTGAGAAACAGAATCATATTCAACAGATGTCCACGTCAAATACACACCTTCATCTTCAGAAGATGACAGCCAGGTGGAACAGATTGAGGTGCCCTCCTCTAACAGATTATAAGAGAGTAAAAAATGTGCTGGCCTTCACACAATGATGTGTATCTTTCATACCAAAGGAGACTGAAAAGGGAATCTGTGCACTATGGAAACTCAAGGAAAAATACCAAGTTCACACGGAAACTCATTGGTGGAGGAACAATAACCTACATGCTGACATTTCAAAAAGGACCTGTGCTCACTTGAAAGATAAGTTATGTTCTCCAAGAAAAACAGTAAAAGCGAATAAATACCAGCACTTAAGACAGCAAAAAATTTTCTAAGAGTTGTTCAGTGAATGCCTTCCTACAAAATGGGGTTTCTTTGCATAAGCACATTATTCACCTGCCTTCACTTAAGCACATTATTCATAATAATGTGCATAAGCACATTATTCACCTGCCTTCACTTCCTCCTGCTCACCAGCTACGCTCAGATATGTTTTTCTTAGCAAACTCACCACCATGAAACTGCAGTTTTCGCTTCTGTCGCAAGAAGATTTTGTGTGCTTGTCTTAAACAAAAAAGGACAACTACAGCTCTAAGAGGATGCTAAAAAAGGTCTCTTCTGTGCGGGAGCTTCCTCTGGCAGGAAGCAGAACCTCTGCAAATACTCTCTCCTTAATGTGACCCCATTGTGCAACAAAAGTATGCACTGCCCTGTACAGGAAAGTAAGTTTGTTTCCTTTCCAAAAGATTGTACTTTAAATAACTTGTTTTGTTACAGAAACTGTAAGTAAGATACTTTTGTTTTAACACAGTTAAAATAACCACTGCTAAAAGATGCGTAACGTTGGGCATTTTTTTAATTTTAATTGCAGTGTATTCTGTAAGGATAATATTAACTTTAAAGTGTAAAACCAAATTGAAGTCTTTAATAATAATCATTATCATTTTTAAAGGCTCTAATGTGTCTTTATTTCTGTATTTTTTCAGACCATCTTGGAAATGTTGATTTTTATGGACACAGTTGTCAGAAAGCGACTCGAGTTCACCTGAAAACTGGGACCAGATCAGGAGGGTATCGCTGCCAGGTGCTGCAGCACCACCAATACCTTTTCAGAGGGATGTTGCATAGAGGGAGAAATCAGCAAATTCTTAAGACTTGCACATAATAACCCAGAAAGAAGTTTGCTTTAGCATTTTTGCTATGCTTTTGCCAAAAGCTTCAGTGTCTGCAAAGCAAGCCACACACTGTGAAGTTGGAAGTTCCTGCTTTGCATTCGCAGACAAGTGGGTAAGCAAGCTATGTGGTTGGAAATGCGCTATCCTCCTCTTAAACTAGAATTTACATGACACTTTTTTAGTAAGTTAAAGATCTCTTACCTTGGGCATCCAGTCAATAGCTAAGAGATGCTTTTATCTTGTTCACCATACTTTTAATTTCCAGCTGAAAGTCTCTTAAAGGGCCACCTTTACTCTTCCTCCACACAGGGCAGTATGCGCGATTAGATGGTTTGTCTTTTCCAGCTCCTCCCCCCAGAACTAGCAGTGAAAAACTGCCTCCTTCCTCAGGAGGAAACTCTTAATCTGCTTAAGTCTAAATAAAACCTAACATTACACAGTAAAGACAAAAATAGCAAATAGCTCTTTTCATATGTAGCAAACTATTTCCAGTGGCTCTGAAATATTTACAGGGTTTTATAAAATACCATTCGCAATGGCATAAAGTTCAACAGATGGAGCTGGTTCGTTACAGCAGGACTCGCATCACAGACAGCATTTTGTAACCTGGCATAAGCCAACTTGTCAGACCTGCTAGTTGTCCCTGGTGTAAACAGACAGCAAGACAGCTTCCTGCCTCTTCTCTACACACCACTAACAATTTACTGACTACAAAAAAAAATCTCCTTCACTTCAGCATCGCTCAGTTTCTACACTCAGGAAAAGAAGAGACTCCTCCTTCCAAAATTCCTCCTTCCAAAATTCCTCCTTCCTGTTACAAAAGGCAGCCGGTGAACCCTGGTTAGCTTTTAAAAGGAGGATACTGCATTTCCAAGAGGGACAAACACCGCTGATACATACAAACACAAATAAACTTACCTCCTGTAAAGTCACAGACCAAATACTGCTTTCAACCATTGGTGTAAAGACAGTGAAAACAGGATATAAAATAATTTTTAATACCAACAAAGACAGCCAAAAAAAAAAAAAAAAAAAGTTGCTGATTCTTCAGTGGGTTTTTGGTTCTGAGTTTTAAAGAGGATATACTCCAGCTTCCATCACACGCTGGACGGAAAGAAGAAGGCAAATTTGAAAGCAGTAGACAAGCCTCAGCTCAGGAAGACTGAAAGGCTGAACTCCACCCTCTGCTCCCTTCCGGCCAGCCCCAAGGAGCAATTCCTGACAAGATTAGTGGTGATGATGCATCCTCTCTGTGCTGCTGCTCAAGTGGGGTGTAACGAGTCCCAAACCTTGTTAGGCAATTCGGTGTCACATTTTCTGATGAGCAAACACCCAAGCCACAGACGCTTAGGCATGAACAGATCCTCAATGGTGGAATGGAAAGACTGATTAAAATGCACTTTTTTTAAATGTGAGCAAACCGAAGTCTTTGTAAGCCCATTGGAAAGGGCTCTTGGATTGTGGAGGAGCTCTGAAGGAAAACCCTGTGAACCTCCATTTAGAAACCTAAAAGGCTTTTACAGCAAACTATCCAGGAAAAACTCTCCTGGGAAGCAACACAGAGGCTCCTGCAGGTATTCTGTGTTTTCTGTTTGTTGACTCTGAGGAAGCACTCCCAGAAGTGCCCCAGCACACTTTTTCTAAAAACCACAAACAAACAACGATCCACGTCAAGAGTTATCTTACGTTTTGCCTTATGACAGTTACCATGACTCTGAAAAAAATTACTAGTGTATTAATTTTTGCTTCCTCTTCAAACAGCCAAAAGACTATTATGTCCAAATTACACATTTATTCAGACAGACAGCATCTTCTCCGTTGCACAGCAAAGTCTACAGAGAAAAGGCATTTCTACTCTCAGAACAGAATTTTGTTCGGGGTCTGCTTGCAAAACTCCAGCCCTTCTTTTATGGTTATATCCTCTTTATTTTAAATCAAAAAATCCCAAGCCCAACTCTGTCAGTTTCTCATCAAGTCAACAAAAACACCGTTACATGAGATGTTCTCAAACATAGAAAAACCCCATGGAAAATTATCAATCTAAATTATATCGCTATTTTTTTCTGAATGAGTAACTCACTTTTATTCCTGGCTTCTATAGGCAATTAGTAATTTATTTTAACCAAAAGTCATGAAATTCCGTGACTAACAGCAATTAAAATATATTTTTTGCACCTTTTAAAAATCTATCCGACAAAAACGCACGAGAGTATTTGTTATAAGCAATAGAAAATAAAGTGAAAGGGTGTCCATAAAAAAATTACACTTTTCCTAAATAATACTTGTAAACACAGAAGGAAACAAAAAACACCAAAAATAATGGCACATTTAATACTGCTCTTTTGTCAAATCACGGTGTAAAATAGGAGCTGGGCAGGAAGGTCTGTGGCACGTAACACAGCTTATTGAAGGACATGAATTTAACCTGTCAAGAAAATGCAACAGCTTATTGTAGCACATGAATTTAACCTGTCAAGAAAATGCAACTGGTTAAGGGCAGCCTGTGGAGAGTTTGGGGTCAGTGGGACTGGGGGAGCCCATGGCCCTGCCTGGTGGTGCCCACCTGCCCTCAGGCAGGAGGCATCACTTCCCTGGCATGTCACAGGGGGCTGTTCAGCCCCACCGTCCCTGTGCTCGGGAACATCTCTGGGACCTGAGACTCAAGACATCCTTCATCACTGCAACTCAGAAGTGTCAACGTCTCTATGGTCCTGACAAATCCCTACTGGCAATAAAAATTGTAACACGCTTCAAACAACAAGAACTCTATCAACTATAACTAAAAATTACCAGCAGACTGAAAGCCTGTTTCCTTCTTGACCTGTAAGAGGAATATGCTGCAGGGATCTCCACTCCAACGATCCCATTCATGAAACATCCCCTTCCTGGGCAGTAAACCAAAAAACTCATTTTGCTCTGGGAAGAGAAACTGTGGAAGTTACCACGATGTTGGCCTCCAGGGCACAGCCACCCAGGGAGCGCAGGAGGCCAGAGGGACCCAACAGCAGCAATTCTGGCTTTTCAGCAGCATAGACTCAGTCCTTCCCCAAACAAAGGCTGGCTGGGCAAAGTCTAGCCCTGCTGCTGCCAAACTGAAATGCATTTCTAAACACTTGGGCTGCAGAGCGATCACTTAAGGGACAAGCAAAGCTGGCTCTCCACTTTCTGCCTGCGAGGATCCACACAGCTTGTGTTTCTTGCTGCTCTTGAAATGTTGATTCCTACCAACCTCAGCTTGACATATAAATAAAATCAAAGAACAAGACAAGGAACAGAGAGCACTTACAAGCATTTTTCCATGACACTCATCAGCTAAAGAACGCGTCCGAACTTTGAACTTAATGTGCAACTAACCAGTTACAGGGGTGCTCTCTAATCACAGCATCGCTAAGAGGATCAGATCCAATCCAGCTTAATAAAAAAAAAAATAAATCACACAGTGAGTTTCAAAAGTGCAAGCCAAAACCCCAGGCTGTGCTCTTGACTGTGACAGCGACTCACATACACAGTGGCCAAAGAGTCACCTTCTAGATCCTCGTTTGCAGCTTGGGGATAATGTTTTTCACTGTCCAGAGCCCAAGATTAACTTGTTAATATGCTTCCACAGAGGTTTAACGAAGACTTATTTGTTTTCTAAGTATTATTTAAATTCCACAGTACTGAACCACTGGAAAAATACCTAGCCAGCAAAAGTTGTGTTTTTTTCTAAATAGGTCATACTCACTTGGCTCTTGGCTGCTACAGCAATCCGATTTCTTACAAAGAATAAAATCTACACCCTTTGACATCAAAAGAAGTACACTCAAACCATAATTTTTTTCATAGGTAAATACTTAAAAAAAGGTCAGTTTTACTTTCTCTGTACCTGTAACTTTATCTGGTCACATTTATGAGTTATGGCATAGTCTTTCACTACAGATTTTCACACTGTGGTTTTCTGAACATGGTGCACTTTCCTTACGTTCACAGACGACGTAAACCTGTTGCCCCCTGTGTGATCATTTACTACTCCAGCCTCCTTGTAGCCTCCGTACCAACTGCAATGTCACTTCACATATTAAGGCACAATAAAGAACAGCAGGAAAACAGTACAGGCATATATAAGCAATGACAGTTCCCAGCTAACCTGGGCAATGGGCAGTAAAGTGCTTCATCTCTGGCAGCTTCACCTAAAGAAAACTGAATTTTTTTAAAGCAGGGTAAGCAATAAATGGATCCTGAGCACTAATTGAAGTATATGCCTAGAGGCAGAGCCTCCATCACACAAAAATCGATGGCAACAGAATGTAGCTGTGACAATAAAAGCAAATACATTGGAAAGATAAGCAATGCTGATCTAAAATTAAAGAACTATTCTTTTGTGGTGAACTAGCAAGCCATCATATTAATAACTGAACTTTTCTCTGCCACTTGAAAGCAGGATATTTGTTACTATTAACTCTATTGCAGTAGTACCTTGGGACCCCAGGAGAGCTCTGGGTCCCACTATACTAGACATTATATTAACAAAAAATTACTAACACTTGGTATAAACAGAGATGAATAGCAAGGATCGTATCAGTCAAGGAAGAGTTCATCTTCCAAAAGTCTCTGTGGATGCCACTGCACACAGCTTGTGCTAGAACAATGTGTATTTTCTCCTTTTGTGTCTGTAGCTGAGAATCACCCTTTGTTTCTGCGTCTCATGAAGATCTCCCGTAAAAGTGCAACAGCAGGAGAGTTACCTACAAACATATAAACTGAAAGAAGAAAAATATTATATGTGGCTACTCGCGGATGTCTGGAGAGTTATAAACCGTGATTGAAATATTCCTGGAAAAACACTATGTCTGAGTGTTCAAAGTGCTTGTTCAAGTGAGGGGATGAGCTTCACCTGCCACTTAAACTCCCTAAGATCCACTCCCCACGGGATTCAGCCAACCAAACAGGCTCCCACAGAGCATCTCCCGTACCTTGTATCTGTCCATAGGATCTTCCTGCTGCAGCTGACTCTCTCGCATGGTTTGGTACTCTCTCTCATATTTCTTCAGCTTCTTTGTTGGCACCTGTGGAACAAGTTTGGAAAACATGTGTTTAAAGATGAAAGAAACACCGGAAAGGCTGCCCCAAAGCTCTCCTTGCAAACAGGAAGCCAAGGAAGCACTGGAAAGCTGCTGCTGCTGCTGATTCAAGTCACTCCCCGTCAGCCCCCCCCTTCCCTACTCAGCAAGCCATGTCAAACGCTCACCAATACACTTCACAGCCACAGAAATCTTTCTGTGCCTACTACTGTTCATTATTCAAATATTTAAAGGAAAACAAGAGTGAAGTAGAGACATTTTAGTAAGACCAACAACAAGAAAAAAAAAGGCATGAACAACAGGAGTGAGAGAACAGGGAAGAGGAAAATAAGCTTTGATAGGTTTAATTCAACAAAACAATACCTTAGCCAGAAAACTGTTAAAAGTGAGATTAGAAGAAAGGAGCGTGCCTGCAAAAGGACTCGACAATTCCCTGGGGGAGATCACAGTAATGTTTTTTACTGCTGGAAGAGTATTAATATCTAAATTACAGATTGTGACCGATGCCCTGATGAAGTTTGGCATCAGAGTCCCCCGAGGCAGAGAGGCTGCAGTGCTCGCTTCCAGCCGCAGCAGGGAAACAGTGAGGCGACTGCATCGAAATCACAAGCAAATTCAGTAAACAACCATGCAGAAAGGTCAAGTCCCAGACTGCTTGATTTCTGGGAAACCACAGCTTCAACTTAAAGCAAGGTATACAAAGAACACTTGTGGGTTTTTTTAAACAAGGTACAGAGATCCTCTGCTTTAGTTTCACCTTTTAATTGGATACACTGTGCTAGATGAGCGATCCCATCTTTCTCTGGAGACCTTTGAGAGCATTACCCTGTCCCCACCACACAACAAGAAGCAGCCAGCCCTGGGAAGTGTTGGATCATCTCCTGGCAGCCGGAGAGAACCCTAACATGATGTACCATCATGACTCCTGGATCTGTTATATATACAATCTGTCCCTCTTGCCTATATTGATCGTGTCTCACTGACTCCTGGTGTGAGGACATGCCACTGTCACCTTGCCTTAGGGCAAAACGTTACTGCCACTGATCAGAGAGAGGAGTTTACACATAGTTTTGGTGCTCTTTATCCCTTTATTAGTTTTCAGCCTGATACCTCCTTCCTCTGCAATACAGGAAGGGACCAAGCAAGTTCTCAGTGTCACTGCAGAAGCCTCTGTGAGGTACAGGTAGAAAAAGTGAAACCCATGTGAAGTCCACAGGGAGCACTAATAAAGCAGCACTAATTACTGATGAAATCTTGAACCACAACACAACCAGCACAAAATAAAGATAAATATGAGGGAAATGTTACAGCACAGTATAGCAAAAAGGTGCAACATAAGTGTAACTTAGAAGATGGTCTGTTCAATCAAAGATTTTCCTAATTCTTGATGTTCTGTCCATAGGATCTTCCTGCTGCAGCTGACTCTCTCGCATGGTTTGGTACTCTCTCTCATATTTCTTCAGCTTCTTTGTTGGCACCTGTGGAACAAGTTTGGAAAACATGTGTTTAAAGATGAAAGAAACACCGGAAAGGCTGCCCCAAAGCTCTCCTTGCAAACAGGAAGCCAAGGAAGCACTGGAAAGCTGCTGCTGCTGCTGATTCAAGTCACTCCCCGTCAGCCCCCCCCTTCCCTACTCAGCAAGCCATGTCAAACGCTCACCAATACACTTCACAGCCACAGAAATCTTTCTACTACTGTTCATTATTCAAATATTTAAAGGAAAACAAGAGTGAAGTAGAGACATTTTAGCAAGACTAACAACAAGTAAAAAAAAGGCATGAACAACAGGAGTGAGAGAACAGGGAAGAGGAAAATAAGCTTTGATAGGTTTAATTCAACAAAACAATACCTTAGCCAGAAAACTGTTAAAAGTGAGATTAGAAGAAAGGAGCGTGCCTGCAAAAGGACTCGACAATTCCCTGGGGGAGATCACAGTAATGTTTTTTACTGCTGGAAGAGTATTAATATCTAAATTACAGATTGTGACCGATGCCCTGATGAAGTTTGGCATCAGAGTCCCCCGAGGCAGAGAGGCTGCAGTGCTCGCTTCCAGCCGCAGCAGGGAAACAGTGAGGCGACTGCATCGAAATCACAAGCAAATTCAGTAAACAACCATGCAGAAAGGTCAAGTCCCAGACTGCTTGATTTCTGGGAAACCACAGCTTCAACTTAAAGCAAGGTATACAAAGAACACTTGTGGGTTTTTTTAAACAAGGTACAGAGATCCTCTGCTTTAGTTTCACCTTTTAATTGGATACACTGTGCTAGATGAGCGATCCCATCTTTCTCTGGAGACCTTTGAGAGCATTACCCTGTCCCCACCACACAACAAGAAGCAGCCAGCCCTGGGAAGTGTTGGATCATCTCCTGGCAGCCGGAGAGAACCCTAACATGATGTACCATCATGACTCCTGGATCTGTTATATATACAATCTGTCCCTCTTGCCTATATTGATCGTGTCTCACTGACTCCTGGTGTGAGGACATGCCACTGTCACCTTGCCTTAGGGCAAAACGTTACTGCCACTGATCAGAGAGAGGAGTTTACACATAGTTTTGGTGCTCTTTATCCCTTTATTAGTTTTCAGCCTGATACCTCCTTCCTCTGCAATACAGGAAGGGACCAAGCAAGTTCTCAGTGTCACTGCAGAAGCCTCTGTGAGGTACAGGTAGAAAAAGTGAAACCCATGTGAAGTCCACAGGGAGCACTAATAAAGCAGCACTAATTACTGATGAAATCTTGAACCACAACACAACCAGCACAAAATAAAGATAAATATGAGGGAAATGTTACAGCACAGTATAGCAAAAAGGTGCAACATAAGTGTAACTTAGAAGATGGTCTGTTCAATCAAAGATTTTCCTAATTCTTGATGTTTTTTCATGAAAGCCTTTAAAGTTCACATCAGGATTAAGTCTTACTACACAGAGCGAGAGAGAGAAGCCTCCCATTCACACAGCTGCCCAAACACTTCAGTAAGAATCCCATTGTCTGAAGGAATAGGAGATGTAAGATAGATTTTGTGTGTGTGTGTAAATAGGGAGAAAAGAGTGGAAAATGAAGGTAAAAATTGCAAAATCACAATCCTTCCCCCCCCAGCAGTTCCCCATGCACAGGGGAGCCCCCCATGTTTATGTGAGAGGTGCCCAGAGCTGGGTGTCGGGGGCTGCCTCCACTGACCACTGCGGCGACCCACCAATGGCTTCCCCTTTGCAGCTGCCTGGAGCAGCATCACCATTTTCCCTTTAACCACAAGATTTGCTTAAATTACTTGTGAACGAAAATTGTAGTTCTCTCTATAATCCAGAAGATACAGGCAAAATGCAGCATAAAGGTAATGATGTAAGTAACTCTTATCGAGAGAGAATCTTCACAGTCCCTGTTTCCACTCGTTGACAATTAAACATCTCTTAATGCCTGGTAAGGAGAGAGAAGTGGGGTATTAAGCACTGTTGTGACCCGAATGCCTCTGCTGAGCACTGTGCCACAGCTGTGCCTGTGCATGAAGAGATGACTGCTGCCTTCTTGGTAGCACAGCCTCACACCCAGCAGCACTCCTCCTTGCTCATTTTTTAAATGTTAATTTTTTAAGCTGCCTGAGAGGAGCCTTATTACTCTGGTTTCACCTTGCATTCTCTATCGAGATGAAGCAGAATTTAGCTTGCACAGAGTCTATTTGGCACTTAATCACCTACCTCAACAACACCAGGAACTAATGTGAACACCTCACATCAAAAAAACCTTATGAGAGCAGGGGAGAATGAGATTCAGCTGCTTCATTAAACTCTGCTCTCCGTCGTCTTCACAGTCCCTGTTTCCACTCACTGACAATTAAACATCTCTTAATGCCTGGTAACTCTTTTCACCAACTATTCTGACCTTTATCTTCTCCTTTGCATTCTTCAATTTTAATTTACAGCTGTGAGTAGGACCACACACAGGTCCTCTGTGGCTGCACAAGGGATAAGGTCCCACTTCCACTACTACAAGAGCTACCCACGAACGCTGTGGCCGTGGCCTGGGGTGAGGGACATGCCTGGGCTGTGCTCCAGCAAGCAAACAGTGTGACAGCACTTTTTTACCAACGTTAACAGTAATTAATACCTGAAACAGGGATCAAATCACGGAAGGTGTGAGCATCAGGGTGTAAGGGAGTACCTCATGACACAGAAAACACCTTCTGTGCTTGCTGAAAAAATATCGTGACTTATGCACGTTAGTATCTATTTATGCTACAACTTTTAGTTGCAAAGTATGTAAATTCAGTGAAAGTCTAATTTACAGCTGTGAGTAGGACCACACACAGGTCCTCTGTGGCTGCACAAGGGATAAGGTCCCACTTCCACTACTACAAGAGCTACCCACGAACGCTGTGGCCGTGGCCTGGGGTGAGGGACATGCCTGGGCTGTGCTCCAGCAAGCAAACAGTGTGACAGCACTTTTTTACCAACGTTAACAGTAATTAATACCTGAAACAGGGATCAAATCACGGAAGGTGTGAGCATCAGGGTGTAAGGGAGTACCTCATGACACAGAAAACACCTTCTGTGCTTGCTGAAAAAATATCGTGACTTATGCACGTTAGTATCTATTTATGCTACAACTTTTAGTTGCAAAGTATGTAAATTCAGTGAAAGTCTATCTTAAAGGTTGGGGAGGGAGGAGGGAATTCCTATTAGAAAACCAGTCCATACTAATCCACTTATCCCATAAAGTATAAACTTGATGCTTAATCACTTTGGCAGGGACAATGCTTCACTGTTATTGTCTATTCAGCCACAGCAGGAATGCTTAATCACTTTGGCAGGGACTATGCTTCACTGTTATTGTCTATTCAGCCACATTACTCAAAGGAGTTTGATAATTTATTACAGCACTTTCTTCTGGGTATACACTAATAAACAAAAAAAAAAATATATATTTAAAAGCCCATTTCCATATTCCCCAATTTAATTCCCTGAAACAGTTTGTGAATTCAACAAGGGACTTCTCTGGAAGCCCTTTCATAAGTAAGTGCTAGCTGTGCTTCAGTCTTCATGGATTGCTCTTGAACAAAGTGTGCTCATAAATTTTCTGTAAAAGCTTCTGCAATATTGATTTCTTCTTTCTTTAGCACCATGGGGTATATTGGCTAGAACTGATGGTTATCAAATTTAGGAGACTCTTATGGTTTATAAACATTGCTCATCTGTGTATCTTGGTATCTTATCTCCTTGACTCATTTTATTTTATTGTGTTCAAGCATAAAATCGTGTCACAACTGGTCGCACGTTGGGAAACCGCCACGCGGAGCATCTTAATAAAACATCCACACAGAAGAAATGAACAAGCAAAACCCCTTTCTGAAAAAAAACCAACAGACTGTGCGCTGAATGCTTGAAGGACTCACTACAGGAATGTGATATGTGGCAGGTGAGAAACAAAACCGCCTTGTTTTTAGCTGCTCCCCTGTTCAGACAGTGCTGGAAAGATCTGCTTCACCTTCTCTGTGCACTGGCAGCGTGCCGAGCATCGGCATCCACGCTGCTCCAGGAGACCTCTCCCTCATTCTGCCATTTCTTCAGCTGTTTTACAGACAGTTCAGCCTGACCTTGCTGGACTAATAAATCACACATCTATGACTCCTTCCTCCAAAATGTTTTATTGCTCTAATGAAGCACGAGCACTCAGAGGAGGTAGTTATCATTATGTTCATTTGACAGCCAAGGAAATGGAAGCAGAGATGTAAAATGATTTCCTGAACACATTGAAGACAGCCAGAGGCTGATCCAGACAGAAAAATCCTATTACCTTATTTCTAATTTCCAGCACTGCCACAATGCTAGACTGAACACTCTCACTTTCCCAGATTCCCACTTCTTTTCTCTATCTAGCACTGCATAAACACTCCAAAAATATATTGTCTCATCACACTAAGAAAGTAACCAATAGTCTGTGATCTCTGCACTCTTAATTTTTCCTCTATAGTTCTCAGCTCAGTGTGGAAGGGAAACAACAAAGGAAAAAAAAAAAAGAAAGAAAAAAGCCAATTAACAAAAATTTGCCATTTTTGAAGCAGGTGACTTTCTGTTTCACTGGCGATGGATTTGCTTGGTATTTCAAGACTGAGGCAGGGGACTTGCATCCACAGAGAGGGTTACACTGTGTGCTGATAACTGATTTGGGAGACCACTGATAGCAACCACAGGCACTGGCTGCAGCTCAGCTTCCCTTTTACCCACCCATCACACACATCCCCACGGTAGGACCAGACTCTTCCCAGTGCTGCAAAGCAGGACCATTTCCAAGCACAGGTGATGCCTGGAGCCCAGCTCAGAGGTGATGGGACCAGCCTGAGGTCCTTCAGACCTGGCTCAGCCCTTGTACACAGCCAGGAGTACCAGCTGCAAGAGGCTCTCACAAACCACTGCTACGTGTGCCCCTCTTGAGGAGATCTGAGTTATACTTGTGCTTATTTGATTTTCTTCACATTATGA